TTTTTTTTTTTTTTTTTTTTTTCTTTACCACATACTAGTTATGTTTTCAGTTGAACTTGTGGGCATTTAGACACATCAGTACTACGTAGATTTAGTTGTGTGATTCCAGTTACATACAGTATTTGGAAAAGGTACAGCTCAGTGTTAGGAGTTTATCCAGTGCATAAGTTGAGACCCTGGCATATTCCCGTGTACCTGTAGCAGGACAAGTGCTGTCCCAGCTGCATGAGGGATGAATGAAGGATTTGAAGAGACTCCTAGGGATGTGCAAATCCTGGGCTGTATGATCAAACTCTGTGGGACATCTGTGCACGTTGCTGCACAACAGAAATTTAGAAGAAGGGTGAATTCTTTGTAACCTCTCTCTCTGCATAGAATGGAGACTCACAGGGCTTGCAGAATCTACCCAAGCCGTCTGTCTGCAGTGGCAGCTGCAATGACATTCTGAAGCCAGGAGAGAAATTCCTCTCAGAGTTCCCCGACGTCAAGTTGAATTACTTGGGTCCAGTGCCGGGAAGAGGATTTGCTATATGCTGAAATGTAGGTAGTCCTTTGACTGAATTGCAGCAGCTCCTTCGGAGCCCTGAGTGATTTGGCTGCACCCTAGAATGACACACTAAACTACATGATGAAGGACTAGGGGAGAGCTAGGACTTGTTTCTTTCTGTTGCCATGTTTTAACATTGTAGAAGGAGCCATTGTTGTCAGCTGTAAATGTATATTAAAAATGAATGGGAACATGGTTTGATTCTAGCACGTTTTAGGAAATGTTGCATGGCTATTACTATAGAAGGGTGTAGGATCAGGGCGATACATGGGGAAAATTTAATCTAATTTATGAATATTATTAAACTCAGTGGGAGCTACACACACATACATGAGAAAATAAATTGCTTGTTAGTTGCCTTTCATTGGTTGTTTAGAAAAGCCAAATTTTGCATGCAAGGCTTTGTTTCTCCTAAGGTCTACCCCTCCTTTGCCTTTATTTAATAAAACATGTATGCAAATCATATGTGATCAGTAATAAATGGGCCTGTTTTTTAAACACTGAATAAGCTGAGCCAAAATCTGTCTTGTAAAGCCAACTATTTTCACAGAAAAGGTAGGGCAGAGATGCACCTTGTAGACTAACTGAATAAGTATATCTGTACTTTGTTTAACTTCAGACTAACATGGTTAAACTTTCTCTCTCTTCTTATGAGACTTTAGTTGAAATGATCGCTAAATGTTTCACTGTGGAGAGGAAGGGAGCCTTAACCCTTTGGAAAATACGAGTTTTTGCTCGTCCTGACAGTGATTTATGAGAATTTTAACCACTGCAGGGTTGTCCATAGATTGCTACACTTTATTGTGCTTTCACGCAGCTCAAGGTTTTCCTTACCAGCTGTCAATGAAGTTTATTCAGCTGTTCACCATCATGAATACTCCTCACTGTCCTAGTTGTCATATGTATCTTAATGTGAAAATTGTAAAACTTTCAGGGCAAAGGGCCAAACCTGTATTAATGTAATGTAGTTCTGACCAAGTCTCAATGGCTAAATAGCCTTGATTAAGACTTCCCAATGAATGACCTACCAGGTGCACTGAAGTAGCCTGAATTCTAAAGGACCTGAGCAGCCCGTGGAAGCCAGCGGAAACTTTGGATGCTTAGGAATCTTCCAAAGCATGCCATTATTTTTTGGGGTTTGTTTTTTTTTAACTACAATTATTTGTTCATTCATTAGATTTATATGCCACCCTTCCCCAAAATGGCTTAGGATGGCTTACGGTAAAAGAAAAAATAACTTATAAAAGCAGATAACTTTAAATAATAGTGGGAGAAAGACCAGTGAAAATTAGAAGCTTTTGGAACAAGGAAGTTTTCACTTTAATGACAGTGGACGGCTCTCGACCTATCCCTTTGTCTTGTACCATGAAACTGAGGCACAATGGGTTCGGTTGAAGAAAGATTGTATTTCAGCTCTGTCCTTGAACTTAGTGCCTCTTCTGTGCTTGAGTCAAATTTGGTTTATATACATATTTTGGTGCTTGCATGACTGCCTAAAAAACTCAAGAAAATCCTGTTTAAATCAGAGAGTGAGAAATGGGAATAGGGTAAGTAAGTAATAAATGAGTCTGATTTTTACATTGCTGCTTTGCTTTTGTTGACTGGGTATAGCTTGGGGAGAGACTTTGTATTTAGTTGTGGGTGTGGTGGGGGAATTATCAACTCTCTTCCCTCCCACCCCAAATTGGGTGGATTTGAGTTTTCTCTGCTGTGTGAAACCCTGTTGTTATAGGTAGGTGAGGAAGCCTTGTTTGAGCTGCATTCCACTTTAATTTCCCACTTGTTTGTTGTGGGTCAGTACCTGAAAAGGGAGAAGGCCATGGTGTCTTTTTATGTAGTAAGGTTGGATCTGTAGTGATTGTAGGGAAATCTGACATAAGACCACAAAACAGAAAAAAAATTGGCTTTATTATGCATTATGATAGAGTACTTGCTAGTAGTGAATTAAATTTTTTAAAGTATTATTCCGACCTTTTGAAACCTTATCCTGTAATAGAATAACTTAGAATGTTATTTAAGCATCAGCTACATATTATTCATGATATATAAGAACTGTGCAAAGACTGATCCTTAAAGGATATTGAAACTGTTATAAGTTACATTAATTGCTTGAATATCCGTTAATTATGAAAATGTCATTGCTACTTAAAAAAAAACCTGGAGATTTTTGGTCTACTGAGCTTTTCATTATTTTAATGCAATATATGGTATTAAGACATTTGTAACCATGTTTCAAAATGGTTCTAGTACTTCTGTTCTTGTTAGTCTTATTTCAGTGACAGTTTTGATCATGAATGATAGTTGCTTATGAGACCAAGACCTAGTTGTCTCAACAGTACCCCTTGGGTAACTCAGCTCTACTACCTTTTACATTGCTAAAACTTCTGTATCCTATTAAAGACTAAACTGAATTGAAGGTAGTAGTTAAGTGATGGTGCCAAAAACCTCTAGATCAAGTCTGTAAACTTCTGTTTGTTCATGACGCTTTGTGTAAGAGGTTTCATTCTAGGACTATTTTTTGCAGAAAGCTTGCTTACAAGGGAGATGAGTTTCTATAACCTTTGGAGGTATAACCATTGCAGTTATAAACATAACCATGCCATAGTGAAGTAAAGAAAGCTATGGAGAATTTTTGCCGGTAATTCATTATCAGTATAGACCTATTGTCCTGCTCCTAAGCTCCAGTTCTGTGCTGATCCAAAGAGAGCTTTGGGTTGTGTGCCAGAGTGTGTGATTCCCCTGCCTGTGGTTGACCCTGTTCAGTGATATGCTGTTTCCTTGCCCCAGGATCGTGATTCTCAACTTTGTTAAACTCAGGGCACCTCTCTTTAGACTTGAGGCACCCTGCAGAAAGTGCTTAATTTTTACTTGTTTTTGACTGCAGAAAAATAATAGATTTTTTTCTGTTGCGAAGACCTCAGAAAGACCATAACAGGTTAGAATGTTTTTGACACTGCAAATTCCTGTTTGAAATCTCTGGGCATTTATAGCCATGTTCTGGGAGGTGGGGGGAGGTGCTTTAATTAGCAAGCAACGCTACTTTAAAGCACCCAAGCTTCACGTGTTCAGTATCCCCACACTGTAAAATACCAGCGGGGCACTTTGACCTAAAGCTCATCGAAC